TAAAGACACCTAACTAGATCTATTAAGCATATTCCATCACATTAGATCAAGTCTTTTTAGAGAGAGATAGTCCCAGTTTTTTAGAGAGAGAAAGTTACGTTTTTTTATTTTCTGCTTTCCCGCTTCGGGTCTCTTCTCCGATGACGGTAGAGGGCCGGCGGCCTCCTTCCGTCGGAGCTGGAGATTTTTGTTCTTCATCTATTCCTCTGATCAAGATTCTTAATCATAAGAATCTTTCTTTATCTCCTCCTGCGTTTGGGAACGTTGACAAGGTGTTTGATCGCGAAGCTGTTTTGATGTTTAAATCTGTTAAACCTCTTATTATTAATGAGGGAGGATATCTTTCTCCAAGAAAGAATTTGGATTGTGTTGGAAAAGGAAAACAGGTGGTTAAAATTGTTGAAGATATGAAGGCTGGAAGTAATGGTTCTTGTCCTGGTTTAAATATGGAGTTCACAAAAGGAATAAGAGTTGAAGATGATTCTGGTATCAATGGCGAAGTTCTTTTGGGAAATTTATTGAAGGATGCGCCTTCATCTTCTGGTAATGAAGAAAAGGTGAAAGATAACAGTAATGGATCAATCATTACTGGAATTCCGTCAGAACAAGAAGGTTGGAACAATGTTCGTCTTTGTGATTCGGCTTCTTTGGGAAACTATTCTATTGGTATCAAGAATACAATTTATGTCCCCCAAAGAACAAACTCTGGAAGGAGTGTCTGGAATTTAAAACAGAATTTTAAAACTATTGATTTTGATATTGGTGAAGGTTTCCTAGTAGATGGGGTGGTCAAATTAAACCAGCAATTTGAATCTGAGAACAGTTCCAGGTTACATAAATCATTAGTCGTCAAGCTGTTGGGTTTTTCTTCGTATCACATTATTGGGCAGGAGTTAAGGAGGCAGTGGGAACAGTTTGGTAAATTTCATATGACTTTACTTGGTAATGGATGGGTATTATGTGCGTTTGAAGAGATTGAAGCTATGAATTCTGTTTTAAATAGTGGTCCATGGTATGTTAATGGAAGCATTATTGGGATAGACAAATGGTCTCCAAATTTTGACCCTTTTTCCTTGAAAGGGTTGACAGCTCTGGTGTGGATCCGATTACCAAACCTTCCATTACAAAGCTGGGATAGAGTGAATGTATGTCGAATTACTTCAATGATTGGTAAGCCTTTTCTTATAGATGAAAACATGTTTCAATGGGGCCGGAGAGAATATGCTCGAGTTTGTGTCAAAATCAATTTGGATGAAAAACTACAACAGGGAGTTTGGGTTGAAGGAGCTATGGGAAAATTCTTCCAGAAAATCTGCTATGAAAGAATCCCTCAAATCTGTTTCAGGTGCGGAAAAATTGGGCATGAGGAAAAAAATTGTTCTGAGGTATGTCCGGAAACAGATTCTTGTAAAGGTTTTTTAAAGGATGCTAAGGAAGATGGGAAAGTTATTGGTAATAAAGGTAGTCATAAGGTGGTGAATAACTTGAATTCTATTGAAAATAAAGAAGGATATGGTCCTTGGATCCATGTCGATTATGGGAATAGGAGGAAGAAGATCAACAACTTTCAAAATACATTGAGGAGGATTCCGGTAAGAGATAATAAAAATAAAGCAACTGAGGAGGTGATTAATATCCAAAGTAAAGACATCAATAATTCTTTTCTACGTGATTCTGATATTCAAATGGATAAGAAGGATGGTGATAGCACAGAAGTAGCGGAAAAAGTTGATATCAATTCAGTCATTAACAAGGAAGAGCATAGTATTAACAAAGCTAATATTATGTGCAATCCTAATCAGTTTGAAGTATTATTCAATATGAGTGAGGAAGGGGAGTTAATTGAAGAAGTTGCTGAAGATGAAGATTCAAATGTTATTAAAAAACATATTCTGGATGGGGAATTGTTCCGGTTCCTGTTGAGGACAACAGGTTTGATTCTTCTACAGTTGGATTGAGGGATGATAAAGGAAATAGCTTGGAGAATGTCTCGGGCAATTCCAAAAAGAAAGGTACAAAACAATTAAAAGGTTTGGGACCTATTAAGCTAAATCCCAGGAGTAGGAAATGGGAAGGAGATGATAAAAAAAGGGCGGGGAACCTCTTCCCCTCGGTTCATTAATGTCTTCTATTGGTTTCTGGAATTGTAGGGGAGTTAGGAAAAAGGCTACTTCCCTTTATGCTAAGGAGTTTATCAGAGAAAATGATGTGTTTTTTCTTGGGTTATCAGAAACTAAGCTGATGTTGATTGATAATAAGCTTGTTGAAGAAATTTTTGGAGATGGTTGGGACTTCTTTTTTGTTCCTTCTGATGGATTGTCTGGGGGTATCTTACTGATTTGGAGAAATGATATTGCTAAATTCAATATTGTGTAGGCTTCTTCTCAATTTGCTGTTGGGGATCTTGAGGTTATCAACAAGGGATGTTGAAGAGTTGCTACTATATATGTTAGTAAAGATGTATACAAACGTTGGCATTTATGGAATTGCCTTGAGAAGGTTTTGGTGAAAAATACACCAATGGTCATTGGGGAAGACTTTAATTGTTTGTTGTCTAAAGAGGAGAAAAAAGGAGGGAGGAAGTTTAGTTTAAACATGGTTTCAAAGGAAATGAAGGCTTTTATAACATGTAATGATTTACATGAAGTTACTAGTAGTGGACCCAAGTTTACTTGGTGTAACAATAAGATTGGTGCTGAAAGAATCTTGGAAAAGTTGGATAGATGCATGGTTAATTCTGCAGCTTTCAATTCTTGTCACAGGTTATTGATCAAGAACTTAGCAAGACTTGCTTCGGACCACTGTCCGATTATTTTAAACTTGTTAAAATTCATTCCACATAGCAAAACTTTGAAATTTGAGGAAGTCTAGACTTTTATTCCAGCTGCTACCAATATTGTACTTTCGTCTTGGAAGAAAAATGCAAAGGGTGATCCAGCTCAAATTTTGAATCAGAAAATGAAAAGAGTTTTAAGGGATCTTCATTATTGGAGCAGATCAAAGTTCAAGGATATTAATCTAGCCAAAGATAATCTTCAAAAGGAGATTATTACTTTACAGGAAAAGGAAGGGGGAGGAGTGGAATTCACATCTGAGGAACAATGGAGATTAAAAGCTTGTATGGAAGAACTCAGCATTTTATTAAATCAGATTAATACAATCTGGAAACAAAGAGCCAAAATCAAATGGCTTTCGGATGGGGACTCTAATACCAGATTTTATCATGCTTTTGCCAATGCTAGAAGAAATTCCAACTACATCCATAGTATCAAAAGTATGCAAGGAGATTTAGTGGAAGATCAAGAGGGTATAGAGGAGATATTATTCCAGTTTTTTAACATCAAATGGAAGAAAAGATTGTGTGTTTTGCTGGGATGGCCATTACCGAATTCTGTCTTAGTGAAAAAAGACAAAGAGTATCTGCGAAGGAAATTCTCTATTGAAGAGCTTGAAAAGGTCATAAAGGAGCTTGGAAGCAACATTTCTCCCGGACAAGATGGTATGACTTATACCTTTTTTAAATTCTTTTGGAACATTATAAAAAAGGATTTGTGGAGTGCTATGGATCATTTTTTTGTTGGTGGTAAAATGAATAATGATTAGAAAAATACCAACATTGTTTTAATTCCTAAAGTGAAGGATCAAGTTTCTCCTTCTCATTTCAGGCCTATTTGTTTATGCAATTCAGTTTATAAAATTGCTGCAAAAATTATTCTTAATAGAATATTAAATGTTGCACCGAAGTTGATCTCTAATGAACAAGTAGCTTTTTTGAAAGGTAGATCCATTTCGGATCATGTTCTTGTGGCCCATGATATTTTTCATAAATTTAGGCATTCCAAATCTGCTAATGGTTTGGTTTCTTTAAAAATTGATATGGAGCAAGCTTATGACTCCATGGGTTGGCCTACTTTGAACAAAGCTCTTAGATATTTTGGTTTTCCAGATTTCTTTGCTGATTTGGTCATGGAATGTGTGATTGATCCTAGCTTTTCTTTGGTTATTAATGGTATTTGTTCTAAACGGATTGAAGCAAAAAGTGGCTTTCGACAGGGATGTCCTTTATCCCCTTTTCTATTTGTTTTATGTGCACAACTATTGACAAATGCTTTCTATCAAAGGGGTAAATCAATTGGTATTAGTGTTTCAGCAAGGAGTCCTAAAGTTTCCCATTTGCTTTATGCTGATGACATTTTGGTGTTCTCTGAAGCCAAGTTGGAGTCTATCAATCTTGTTAAAAAGATTATCATGGATTTTTGTGATTGGACGGATCAAAAGGTCAATTTTCAAAAATCTGGTATTCTTTTTGGTAAACATGTTAATAGAAGGAAGAGATGGAAAATTTGCAAAATTATAAAATTTAAAGAACTACAGGAATTCAACTATCTAGGTACTAAAATGGCTTTGAGAAGGATGAAGGGTTCTGATTTCCAATTCATCTTGGATAATGCATTGAAGAAGATTGGTATGTGGGGAAGCAAACTCTTATCAATGGCTGGGATGTTGAATTTAATCAACTCTGTTTTATTAGCATTACCAACATTTTATACTACCTTATCTTTAGTACCAAAAAGAATTATGTTGGAAATTGAGAAAGCTTGCAGGAAGTTCATTTGGAGTAAAGGGAACCGGGAAAAAGGTCTTCATTATATTAGCTGGGATACTCTGTGTAAACCGAAGAAAGTGGGAGGTATGGGGATCAATTCTTGCTCAAAGGAAGGTCCTTTATGAGTAAAATTAACATGGAGGTATTATCATGCAACTGATTCTCTTATACATAAAGTTTTGTATCCTAAATATGGTCATATAATGTCAGAAGATTCTTCAAGCAGAACGGGTTCTACTGCTTATAAATTGATTAAGAATGGAGGAAAGTTTTTAAAGCCAATCATCAGATGGGAAATTGGTAAAGGGAACTTAATAAATGTTGTTAAAGATACGTGGATCTATGACAAAAGCTTACTGAAATGTCCTACTTTTACTCATTATTTGCTTGAAGATAATTATATGGTGGAAGATTTCATTAAGGATGGAAGATGGGATGTGCAGGAGCTACAAAAATTCTTTGGTGCAGAACTTATGGAAATTATCAGAAATGTTCATTTCAACGAGAGCAAGGAAGATCGGATGGAGCTTATTCTCAAATTTTTGGGTAAATCACTGACGTCCTTAGCTTGTGAAGTTTTGGAAAATTGTTATGCTGACGGGTATCTGTGGGCTTGATAAAATTAAGCTTATTCCAAGAGTAAGGTTGTTTTGGTGGAGACTACTTAATGAAGCCATTCCTACTAACAAATTCTTATGTTATAGAAGGCTCCAAGAATTTGATAATTGTCCTAGAGGATGTGGGATATCAGAGAATACAGAACATATTATTTCAGGTTGTGGAAATCTGATCAAAACTGTGGAAGTTTTAAACTTTTGGGGCTTTGGTATTCCAAGTTTTTCTTCTTTGGAAAACTGTTTAAATT